ATGAACTTTTAATGACTGAATTTCCACAATTTTTTAGTTATATCAGTTTAATTGCACTCTTATCAAATGTTCAAATTTTTCAACAGTTCAGTCAGGACTCCAGGAATTTGACAATTGAAATCTTTTGAGGGCTAACAGGATTAAATGGTAGGGTAGATTAGGCTCTGTAGCTTTGAATGGCAGTCAAGAAGGAGGAATACTCTGAATTGAAAACCATAGAGCAAACAGGAAACCACTCCATTGTCTTTTCCAAGAACTCATAGTAATTTACAGATAGTAAAGAAAAATATTCTGTGGAGAGTCATGATAGCTTACATCCTGAAGGGACATGGCATAAAAAGAACTTCAAGTTGTTAGTAGATAGGTTCACCTATTGCCTTGTTCTCACACCTCCCCAGTTTTTTGAATAGAAGTAGAAGTTTATTCTTTATTTCCTGTTTAGGATTAGGTTTCCACTTCATTATAAAGTCTTCTCATTCTTCTTCACTCCAGTAGCCCCTTGCATCTTCGTGGCATTATCACCTTACTTGGGGTGAACTGATTTAAAAACTATATATATTCCAAAATTTATTGAATTTCTCTACAAATGTGTTATAAATATTTGAATTGAAAGCCAATAGAATTATTTTTTTTAAATTAGCAAAAAAATAGAAAGTGAAGAAAATATCAAAACCTCTTAATAGATTTATAATTACAGTCTAAGAAAAAAACATGAAATCATATTTATAATAAAACAATACAAGTTTATTTTACATAATCTTATTGTGCAACATTGTGCCTACTTTCACCTCTTCCAATCCTTATTGTTGAGAGTCATAGGACATGGACAATTGCTACAGTTTTTGAATTCAAAATTGTCTTTCTCCTATATATATATATATATATATATATATTTATTTTTTTTTCATTTCACCTCAAGCAAGGTGGGAATGACACTAGTGCACAGGAGGTGAAAGAAAAAACTGAGAATAGAGACTATTGAAGAAAGAACAAAAGATGAATGGGATTCAAGAAGACAGAAGTTGGTGATTGATGTTGCATTTAAAGTTTTGAAAATTGTAGTTATCAAGGAGCAAGTACATGAAAGGTGAGAAGTGTGAGAAAAGAAACTGTTAAAGTAGAAGTGGTAGTTGCATTTAGCTATTTTAACAGTAAAAGGGTGGGACCTAAATGCTAATCTAGTAGCACACTTAAATTCATGTATTTGGGGCGCCAAGGAAAAAAAGTTTGTCAAAACATTTGCCTAGAAAATATTTTAAGAAAAGACAGCAGGAAGCCATGTCACGTCAGTGAGAAAGTGACTATAGTTGAGATGTCTGGTCAGGATAGATTACATTACAAATCTTTCTTTGTTTTTTGTCAAGATCAGATATGGCAACAGTATTCAATGTATGGATAAATGGTAGATTCATGGTGTCAATTTGTATTTTACATATGTTACTTTAAAAACTAAATATGTATACATAAAGGAATCAGTAGATATGTATAATCACATAAAATCTGTCTAAAAAGCACCCAGCCTGGAGGTAATTTAGCCACCAATGAGAGGAATGATTGGAATTCTTGATGGAATGATTTTGAGAATGTGTAAAATGCTGGTTAATTTGATAAATTGAAAATGCTGATTAATCACTTACACTTTTCCAGTTGTTTTGGGAAATAGAAACTTGCATCAAAACATATGTGTAGTCTAGATTAAGCAATTGTGCTCTGGATGCTATTTGAGGAGTAGCTTCCTGTCTCTCCAGTGCACAATGCTTGGGTAGGTAGATAGGGAGGACTGTTACCAATGCAGTAGGTTCCACTTCACCACATCACTGAAATAGTCCAGTGGAAAGACAAATGCTCACAAACATGGCTTCAACACCATTGCAGGATCTGCCAGGGCATTGCAAAAATACTGCCTTGAACTTCCTTAGGGACTCGAAGATTGAAACATGGCAGATGATAGTAATCCCAAAAGAAAACAGTTTCAAAAAATTGAAGGGGATACTAGAGATAAGTTTATGGGGTTGATTATACACTTTGAAGTAGACTCAGGTGCCATAGGTCATTTGTTTTTATTAAATATCTGGATCCTTTCCAGGTATAATTCATACAAGCATGGACTCATACATAAATAAGCATGTATTTATTTTATGATGCCAGTTAAACTCATTTCCAAATACATGTATGATCTCACACACAGACACAATAGATATAGATGACTGTTACCAATGCAGTAGGTTCTTCCTTGCCACATCACTGAAATAATCCAGTGAAAAGATAAATGCTCACCCACATTGTTCCAACACCATTGCAGTAGTTACAAGGGCATTGCAGAATACAGCCATGAACTGCCTTAGGAACTACAATTCCAGATTTTTACTTAGGGTTGATTCCCTGGAGCCTTTCCTATGAGTGGGTATAGATGCAAGGCAGCAGAAGTTTTTAAATCAGTTTGCCTTCACTTAGATGAGTTGACTTCCTGGATTTATGGGTCTTGTCTGTCCAGTTTCTCTCTCTCCCTCCTTCCCTCTCTCTCTCTCTCTCTATATCTATATATATATATATATATATATACATATACATATATATATACACACACAATGCATATATATACATACATATACACATACATACATACATATATATATACACACACACACATATATATATATATATAGACACATACACACACACACACAGAGGAATAAATATATAAATAGTAAACCCTTGAGAAAATAAGGAGAAAGACAATGGCATCTGAGTTTGTTTCCTGGAGGTAGTGAACTAAACATGCTAGAAAACATCTGAATGCTTTGCATCTTGGTCTCCAAAATGTATTTTGAGTATATCTACAAAAAGGTAGAAAAGAAAAAATTTAAATATATCCAGTAAAACATTGTACCCACTAAAAGTTAATGTTTATAATTAGAAGAAATAATGTCAGATTAAAAAATCCATTTAAAAATTACTGCTGTTTACATTTCGGGTAAAAAATGAAGCTAGCAGATATTGATTCAAAGAAGACCCAATGAGAGATGTGTGTTCCTTAAATTGGTGACTCAAAGCTTGCTCTATCAAAATGGTCTCAGCACATTTTGGCTATAGAAGCAGTTTCTCTGTTGGAGAAAGAGAAATAGGTTCAATTCCTGTCTGAATTTCTGAGATGAGGAATTATCATTATTTACATGTGATCTATTGTTCATTGTTTTCGTCAGTTCAGTTCCTGTTGGGAGGCACAATTTTTTTTTAATATAACTTCATAATCTAGGTCAGTTTTCATTAATTTCACTGTTTAAGAAAGTATAAAACAAGGATAGCAACTTAAACATGTGTACCAACTAAAAAATAAGGTTTGTAACAATAAGAAATATATAAGGACGTATGAGAGAATGATGAAAACTTCCAGCTCAACATTCTTTCCAAAATCTGACCAAATTATGAAACATCAGTATTTTTTAAGCTCTTCTTGGTGAGAAAGAACTTTCCAGCACATATTTGTATATCTGCACATTCTTATTCTTTTGTGTGCATATATACATATAAGTGAACATTGAAGTCAACACTCAGAGGCAACAGGCTGTTTCATGCTAGACACAATCGTCAGGCTGCATATATATATATATATATATATATATGCACACACACATATACATACATTTGTAGTGCAACTTAAAGTTTCATGGTTTCCTAAATCGTCTGGCGCATATGGTGATTGGGTCGCTTGTTACAGTTGTTTTTAAAAAATACCGTCTCTCATTGGAGAAACACTAACTTATACTCAGATTCAAAGCATGAAGTTAATATAAACCCAATATATTATTGGAGTGTAAATTTAAAATATAGAGTGTATTGTAGGAGATACTGGGAAAAAATCATGCAAGCTTAAAATTTATATGGTACATGTTTTTCTGTTGGGGAAAATAAAAAAAAGGCAAGATTCAAGTTAAGAAATTATAAAGTGTAAGGTGCAAGCATTTGAATATTGTTTTTTGGTAAGAGTCATTTTATGATGGCAATACCGGGACTTCCAGTGGTTTGATGTTTAATGTTAGCCTTATAAATAATGCCATTATTCATACATTTATGATTTAGTGGACAGGTACTGTTTTTTTGATAATTACACTTTTTGTCTGTATTAATATTGCTATTGAGGTTGTTTAAATATTTGTTTAATGCTATATTATTATGTTGTGCTATATACTGTTTGAGGTTTTTGGTGCAGCTGTAGCTAATTTTAATGTTGTTCTTATTGAAGATTTTGTTGAGCAATTGTATATCATTGAAATGTTTGTGGATTAAATTAAGGAAAATTTTACCTATATTGGTTTTGACATTTTTATTAAATGGTAGGTCAAACCAAATTATGTTGTGTTTTCTTTTCTTTTCTTAAGTTTATTGTTGGCATTCTTACTAATGATTATGTATTTTAGTTTAACTTTATGTTTACTTTTTTCTAGTGCATCTACATATTTAGTTTTATATTTGTCAAAAGTAAGTTTGTTGCTAGAGTCCTTATTGCACTGATTTGTGCAAGTTGTTCCTAGTGGGTGGTTGGATTCTTTGCTAATGTATTTATGGTTATAAAGCTCTTTAGTATAAGACATGTATATTTCTTTGGAAAGGTGGAAAGTATATATATATATATACACACCATTCCAATATTTATAGAAACATATATATTCATATAAACATACACACAAAATTATCTCATTGAGTTAACTATATATTCAAAGTAAGTTTCAATTAGTCTATGAATTTCCCATCCTAGATTTCCAATACATTTCAAAATAGTACCATTCTTAATTTGTACCATGTATTAAATGCTTGTGTACATATTTATTCTATTATATGCAAAATGAATTTGGTTAAATGCTTCTGATGATCAAGGAAGGTGCGGCCATCACTGATTGTAAATTATCAAGAATACTGTCCTGACCTTATTCATTGCAAAAAGTTATAAAAATCAAAAATAACAAACATTCCCATTACTCAGCTGCTAGAATATCATTCACCCTCATTCGTGGATAGATTTGAAGAGTGAGTAACATATACTGGGTAGGATGGATGGATGAATGAATAGAAAGATAAGAACACACTGAACAGGGTAGAGAAATAAACAAAGTAAGATTGATATGCAGATGGATAGATAGAGATGGGGTACAATAGATAAGTAGATAAAAAAAGACTGACCAGGGTAAATAGAAGGACATTACTGGGTGCATAAAAACAAACTGGACAGAGTAGAAGAGATAGATAAGAACAGACTTTGTATGAGTTATAGGTAGATAAGGACATATTGCATAGGATAAAATGATAGGTAGATATGAATAGACTTGGTAGGATAGACAGATATGATTTGGTTTGGTTTGCTTTATGGTATATCAACCTCAATGAGTTATTTAATGCCGACAAAATTTTTATTGCTGGTAATATGTTTTTCTTCAAAAATCTATTTCTGGGAATATTTTTCCTTGAAGAAATCTATAGCTAGTAATATTTTTTCAAAGAATGTATAGCTGTTTGTTTTGCTTGTACTTTTTTTTAAGTATTGCTGATAATAATTTTTCCTTCAAAAATTACTGCTGGCAATATTTTTTTATTACAAAGTATTTCTGATATTAAAACCTATTTTTGCACAAGTTTGGGTGTCTATTAATTACCCATAGCTGGGACCCTAACAGGTCAGGGTGGACCTGGAAATGCCAGCAATTAAGGGGTGGTTCCACGCTCCTCAAAACCTCCTGATCAGAGGCCTTGCTGTTGGACATAGTTTATTGTCTTACCCAGGACGCAGATGTAGTTTATCATCATACCCAGGATAATATATAGATATGAATAGACTGGGTAGGATAGATGGAATGATAAGTAAAGATTGGGTAGGAGCGAACAGGCTAGATATGATAGGCAGACAGACACGTAAGAGAGATAGTGGTGGCTTCTAGCTTATAGAGTATGATCATCACAAGATATCATTGCAAAACTCAATAACAAGCAATGCCAGTTTACACAAATTTAAAAAGTTTTTCTGACCAATGACAGCATGGACCCAAATAGAAGAACACCTCAACATCATTGGATGCTGTCAAGACACAAGTGTTATGAGAGTTTTCCTTCTTCTTACAGGATACCTCAAAGGTTCAGGGGTACAACACTCTCAGTGTGGACCTGGACACCAAACCAGTTATTACTAAATGTCCATGTCATACATACAAAAGATCAAACTGTATATGATGGTGTTGTAATGGAATGTCCCACATTCCCTATCGCCTATGTGGACTGACTATATCAGTAAATATATATAGTAATATATATCTGGATATACCTGGAAGACTTGCTTCAGGAATTACTAGCATGCTAACTGATTCCCTGTCTTTCAGTAGTGTATTCTCTTTTATAATAAACCTCTCTTTCTTTCTTCTACACTTGTGTTGCTGTTCCTTTCACTCGAGTACCACCCTTATTTGTTTGTAACCTTCTTTAAGGATACAACAAAGGGATAAGGACAGACTGGCAAGGATACATAGATAGAAACAAACAAATGAACTGGATAGAATGGATAGATGATTGAGTTAGAAGAAAAGAAGCAGACTTGGTTGGATAAACAACAGATAAAAACAGACATGGTAGGATAGACAAACAAATAAGAACAAGCAGAGTAAGTTATATAGCCACGTGTAGAGTAGATAAAAAAATAACAAATTGGGTTGGATAGATGGATTATGTGTATTATGCAAACATCTATTGAGTTTTATATTCATTGATTTATAAATCATGACATCTTCTTACCATCAGGAAAGAGACAAAAAACAATTCTAGCTCGGTGACAAGTTCCACCTCTGAGCCGATACCTCCCCATTGCAATTAAATATGTATGAGCAGGGTTATCTTCTTATTTCAACAAATATCTCCTGAATACATAAAATAATCCCTCCCTGAGTGTGTGAATTTATCTACAAGAAGAAAGTAATGAAGTTACATAGACATTTTTCATATTGTTTTGCTAAAAACAAGAGAAATAGCTATTTTTGCTCAGTAATTGGTTGATAATGAAGCCAACAGCTATGAAGAAAATTCAGATTTGTCATTTTCCATTCTTTTGCCCTACCACACAGCCATGTTGGAATGAAATTTAGAAAAATAACAAGTATGTTAAATTGCCACTTAAATCCACTAATTAGTTAAAGATGTTATATACATGTATTAATAGTGATCTCATCTTTTTTATCATCTCCAAAATTTTCATTTTTATTTTTATTCCTCCTAACCTTCTACTTTTAATTGTTCTCTTTCTCCCTCACTTTTATTTCTTTGTTTTTGGTTTTGTCTTTTTCAACTACATGTACCCTTCTTTTCTTTTGCCTTATACTATTTTTCTCATCTTCATTCTCCTACCCAGTTTTTATTTTTCCTTTCATCTTATTCCAGTTCTGCACACCCTCCTTTTCTTCTTCTTATTTGAATTCCTCATACCCTTCATTTTTTCCTCGTTTTTTCCCTCATCTTAATCCAATTCCACACACCCTTCTTTTTTCTCTTTTTCCTTCATTTTATTCCACTTCCACACACATTTCTGTTATTTCTTTTTTCCTTCATCTAATTTCAATTCCACTCACACCATTATTTTCTTTCTCCTTTTCCTTCATCTTATTCCAAATCCACACAACCTTCTTATCTTTATCTTTCCCTTTTTCTTATTCCAATTACAATCAACCACCTTTTTTCTTTTTCTTCATTTTGTTTCAGTTTATACACACTTCTTTTCTATGGCATTTTCTTTCATCTTTCATCCACACACCCTCCTATTCTTTCCCTTTTCCCTTCATCTTATTCCAATTACACACATGCTTCTTATCTTTCTCATTTTCCTCCTTATTCCAATTCAACAAACCTTCTTTTTCTTTCTTTTTTCCTTCACCTTACTGAAATTCCACACAGACCCTTATTTCTTTCTCTTTTTCCTTCATCTTGCTTCAGTTCTACACAACCTCTTTCTCTCTTTTGCTCATCTTATTCCAATTCCACACACACCACTTTTTTTCTTTCTCTTTTTCTTTCATCTTATTTCAATTCCACACCCTCTTTTTCTTTCTCTTTTTCTTTCATCTTATTCCAATTTCACACACCCTTTTCTTTCTATTTTTTCTTCATTTTATTCCAATTCCACATGCACTTTTTTTCTATGGTATTTTCTTTTCTTATTTTAGTTCCTTTCCTTTCATCTAATTCCAATTTCACACACCATTATTTTCTTTGTTTTCCCTCTATCCAATCTCAAATCCACTCCCTACTTTTCTTTCTCTCTTTCCTTCTTCATGTTTCAATTCTACTACACACAATTCTTTTCTTTCTTTTTTCCTTCATCTTAATCCAATTCCATACACCCAATTTTTTTCTCTTTTTTCTTCATTTTATCCCAATTCCACACACCATTCTTTTCTGTCACTTTTTCTTCCATCTTATTTCAATTCCACACAGCCTTCTTTTTTCTCTCCTTCATTTTATTCCAATTCCCCATACACCCTTCTTTTCTTTCTCTTTCCCTTCATCTTGTTCCAGTTTAACTTGGCTTACTTTTCTTTATCATTTTCCTTCATATTATTCCAATTTCACATACCCTTCTTCTTTTCTCTTTTTCCTTCATCTTATTCCAATCCCCCACACTCTTCTTTTCTTTTTCATTTATTCTATTACACTCCAATTGCCTGCATTCTTCTTTTCTTTCTCTTTTTCCTTCATCTACTTCCATTTCCAAACACCCTTCTTTTCTTTCTCTTTTTCCTTCATCTACTTCCATTTCCAAACACCCTTCTTTTCTTTCTCTTTTTCCTTCATCTACTTCCATTTCCAAACACCCTTCTTTTCTTTCTCTTTTTCCTTCATCTACTTCCATTTCCAAACACCCTTCTTTTCTTTTCTTTTTCCTTCATCTACTTCCATTTCCAAACACCCTTCTTTTCTTTCTCTTTTTCCTTCATCTACTTCCATTTCCAAACACCCTTCTTTTCTTTCTCTTTTTCCTTCATCTACTTCCATTTCCAAACACCCTTCTTTTCTTTCTCTTTTTCCTTCATCTACTTCCATTTCAAACACCCTTCTTTTCTTTCTTTTTCCTTCATCCATTTCCAAACACCCTTCTTTTCTTTCTCTTTTCCTTCATCTACTTCCATTTCCAAACACCCTTCTTTTCTTTCTTTTTCCTTCATCTACTTCCATTTCAAACACCCTTCTTTTCTTTTTCTCTTTTCCTTCATCTACTTCCATTTCCAAACACCCTTCTTTTCTTTCTCTTTTCCTTCATCTACTTCCATTTCCAAACACCCTTCTTTTCTTTCTCTTTTTCCTTCATCTACTTCCATTTCCAAACACCCTTCTTTTCTTTCTCTTTTCCTTCTTTTTAATGTCATTTTAAAATTGTTTATAACAAAATGAAAGATGCCAAATGCATTAAACTACAAAGACTGCTGCCAACTTTTTATTTGTTAGTCGATAGGTTTGTAATCAATACCATTTAGATTCCAACGTGTTGCATCTGTCACCAAGTCAAGCTCTGACAAACATAGTTCCGTATCATCAGTTCAACATCTAGTTTCACTTTCAGTTTTGTCTTGATATTATTTGATTTTTAGAACTGTTTTAAAATTTTTGTAACTCAGATGTTTCTCAAATTGTCTCCTCCCTAATGGTTAATTTATTTCCAGGTGTCAAAAGAGGTGACTTTGAACACCAAATTGAAATTTACAAACAACTCTGAAAATCACAAGAGTTTTTTAGTCTGTATTTGAAGAACATAAGCAAGTAAATCAGTAAATAAATAAGTAAAGGACTGTTTTGTAGCAACTGTAGTTAGAGGAATCTATTGCCGAAAGAAGATGAACAGAAAGAAGTCAGAAAAGGAGGCTGAAGTTGACCATTGTTGGAAGCAAGAAATCATAAGAAAAATGTGTTAAGTGAAAGAAAATAAAGAAAAGGATACAAATAAAAAGGCCAGAAAAATTAAAGAATAAAAAGAGAAGAAAAATTGTAAGTTATAAAACAAAAATAAATATATGATAAAGAAAGTGAAAAAATAGGAATGAAAAGTGAGCAGATAAGAAAGAGGAAAAAAAAATGAAAGAAAGTTGAAAAATAATGAATTTATTAGTAAAGAAAAAGATGTAGATGTTGAAGAAAAATAATTTGGATAAGGATTATAATAAAAGAAAGAAAGCAGAAATAGAAAATAAGAGGAGAAAGGACCGGTGCAAAAAAAAAGGAGATTATTCATAAAGGATTATTGGATAAAGGTGTTGGTTAGATCCAATGACTAGACCCAAAGAGTTGTGAGTTCAGTACCAGGCTACCGCAGTGGTGAACCAAAAATTGGAGAGTTGAGTTAAAGGGAAATAACTGAGATATCCGGAAGAGGCATGACATGTGGAAGTAGAACAATCACCTGAAGAAGGCTGGAGGATACAACAACTGAAACCTTGTGAATATGACAATGAAAATGAGGATAACAGTCTAAATAACATGAATGATGTAGGGAGAGGTTGAATAGAAAAGAAAAAAGAGGAGGATTAAAAAAGGGTAAAGAAAAGCAGAAATGATGGATGGGAAAGAAAGAAAAATAGACAGAAAAATAGAAAGAAAAAAGGAAATGAATGAAGGAAGGGCAGGAAAGAAAGAAGTGGTAGAACAAAAGGAAAGAAGTAGAGAAGGAAAGGAAAAGAAAAGAGTTGGTGAAAGTGAAAAAGAAAGAAGGACAGATAAATAAGAAGAAAAGGGAGAAAAAAACATAAATCAAAAAATGGAAAAGGGGAAAGGAGATGTCAAAAAAAATCAGAGCAGAAGGGAAGGAGAAGAAAAGGGGCAAGTGGAACAGAAAAGGAAGAAGACAAAAGAAAAATAGAAGAGAGAAGTGGATAAGAAAAAAGGAGAAAAATGAAAAGGGTAGGGAAGAAAAGAAAGATAGGATAAAAAAGAAAGACAAAGAGGAAAGCAGAATGAAGAAATGGCCAAGTGAGAAGGAGAAGGGTGAAAGGATGAGGAAAAAATGAAGGAAAGAAGAAGAGTAGGGAAGAAGGAAAACGTAAAGCAAAAGAAACTCATCAAATATAAACTTTGATCTGTCAGTGTTTTATGAAAACAGATGTACAAAGTTAATTTTTGATTTCCTTTCTGTTTTTCTTCTTTTGTTTATATCTATCGGAATTCATCTTCGATCACTACACAGTTGTCTTGATGTAACCTCTATCACCATCAGCCGATACCTTTCTTACATCTTTTAGAAAATCTGTCATGGAAAACATCAATTTAAATCAACTTAAATAATAATCTTAAATTCTTATCAACTCTTATCCTATTTATGAAATGATGAATTACATTTTTGAGTTTTGATGATGGGGTAAAATAAAAGAATCTTGCCTTCCTCTGTTTAATTTCTCTTTTATTAATTAATTCTCTCTTTTCTTCTCTTTCTACCTCACTGCTTAGTCATTTCTTATAATAATGCAACCAATTTTACTTTTCAAATTTTAATGTTACAAGATATTTCTAATACTGTTGAATCTGAGTTTCTTTCTATCATTTTTTTTCTCTTTCCCTTCTTTCTCTCAACATCTTTCTTTCCTTCTTTTTCTCTTC